GAGAGATTAAAGAGGAAAATAATCATCAGGACTGGGACACTGGTTGACTAGCAACAAGATGAGGGAGAGGCAAGACTTACGGCTATCTCCTTGGTTTTTGGTTAGTTCTGTGTCCTGAGAGATAGAGAGCTCAGGGAAAGGAGGAAGCTAGCTGGGATGGGAGATTAATTCAAATCTGGACTAAGTGTGAGGTTTGTGTGAAATATTCAGGCAGTGTCCAGAAGGCAGCTGGAGATTCATCTCTGGATTTGAAGAGAAGACGGCTACCTGGGCTCATCGGCACAGTTGTAAGCTCCAAAGGCCTATGTGTTTCTTGTTCCCTGCTGGTGTCCAGTAACTTCGTTGAAAGGAGGAGCATCAGTGTGTAATGTAGGTGGTACTTTAAGTCTTGGAGACGCAGGGGCCCGCCATTTAGTGCACATATAGAATGAGAAGAAAAGGGCACTAAGCCTGGAAGAACCCTGGGAAATCACAGCCTTAATGACTGAAGGAAGAAGAACCCAGGCAGCAAATAAAGACGATATAACCAGACAGATCATGTGGTTGGTGCTCCCAAAGCAAAAAGAGCATTTGAGGAAGGAGGAAGGCATCAGTGGAGTCAAGTGGGAGAGAAGTCATGGAAGAGAAAGATGGAAAATTGGCCGTGAGTGATAGCAGCAAGTTGGTCATTTGTTTATATTTGCAAGAAGTTTCAGTTTCCTATGGGATGATGGGGGTGAAAGCCAGGGGGCTGTGCTTGAAGAGTCAGCAGAGGCAGGATAAGATTGTACTTTTAAAGGCAAAGAAAAAGATTCTGGTTTGCGTTATAGTACTGTCCCGATCACCAGCATTGGTCTCAATGTGATCTAGAAGAGTGGTTTTCAAATTATTTTGATCATGATCTGCTATAAGAAATACCTTTTAGCCCTGGCTGGTGTGGCACAGTGGATTGCGTGCTGGGCTGCAAACCAAAGGGTCACAGGTTCAATTCTCAGTCAGGGCACACACCTGGGTTGCAGGCCAGGTCCCCAGTAGGGGGCGTGTGAGAGGCAACCACACATGGATGTTTCTCTTCCCTTCTTTTTTTCTCCCTCCCCTTCTTTAAAAATAAGTAAGTAAAATCTTTAAAAAAAATACCTTTTAACATCACAACTGAGCGCATTTGTATTTATGTAAAACTGAAACAAAGCTTTATTAAAACCTGCCCTGGCTGGTGTGGCTCAGTGGATTGAGCGCCAGCCTGCAAACCAAAGGGTTGCTGGTTCGATTCCCAGTCAGGACACATGCCTGGGTGGTAGGCCAGGTCCCCAGTAGGGGGTGCGTGAGAGGCAACCACACATTGCTGTTTCTCTTCCCTTCTTTTTCTCTCCCTTCTCCTCTCTCTAAAAATAAATAAAATCTTTTTAAAAAAAGCTTTATTAAAACCTGAAACAAAAGGTTTATTACCCTAACTACTTAGACATTTCATATAAATGAAATCATACAAAAGCCTTTTGTGTCTGACTTCTTTCACTTATAATATTTTCCAAGTTCCCTTATGTTGTAGCACGTAACAGTACTTTATTCCTTTTTATGGCTGAAGAATATCCCATCGTTTGGATATAGCACATTTGTTTATCCATTCATCAGTTGATTGGCATTTGAGTTGTTTCCATCTTTTGGCTGTTGCGAATAATGCTCTTATGAACGGTCGTGTACAAATTTTTGTGCTTTCATTGACTCCTAGGAGTGGAATTGTTGGATCAAATAGCAACTGAATGTGTTTCACTTTTTGAGGAGCTGCCAGACTGATTTTCAAAGTGGCTTCACCATTTTCCATCCCCACTGGCAGTGTTACAAAGGTTCCAGTTTTTCCACATCTTCCCCAACACTTGTTGTTATCTTGCTTTTCATTATAGTCATCCTCGTGGGTATAGAGTTGTATCTCATTATAAATAATGCTGTAGTAAATATCCTGCATTTGCATTTTTGCATTTGATTTGCATTTTCCTGATAGCTCACATGTTGAGCATCTTTTCGTGTGCTTATTAACTGTTCCTTTGCAGAAATTTTATTCAGCTCCTTTGCAAATTTTTAACTGGTTATCTTGCTTTTTATAATTGAGTTGTAATACCTCTTTATATATTCTAGATGCAAATTCCTTATCAGCTATATAATTTGCAAATATTTTCTTCCATTCTGTGGGTTCTCTTTTCATACTCTTGATAGTGTCCTTTGAAGTACAATTTTAATGTTAATGAAGTTTAGCTTCTCTATTTTTCCTTTTTCTATAATATTTTTTAAACCTCACCCAAGGATATGTTTTTTTAAAATTGATTTTAGAGAGAGGAAGGGAGAGAGAGACAGACAGACAGAAAGACAGACAGACCTTGATGTGAAAGAGAAACATAGATCATTTGTCTTCTGTACGTTCCCCAACCAGGGATAAAACCCACAACCTCGTTATATGCCCTTACTGGGAATCAAACCCGCAAACTTTTGGTGCATGGGCCGATGCTTTAACTAACTGAGCCACCTGGCCAGGGATCTTTTTTCTTCTGTCGCTTGTGCTTTTCATGCCATATCTAAGAAAGCATTACTAAATCCAAGGTCACAAAGATTTACATCTATTTCCCCCATTTTGGTAAGCTTAGCCACAATTAAAGTAATTCATTAATAAAACCAAATATTCAGTCTGTTCAAATTTCCAGTTGTCTCATAAATGTCACAAATATGTGCATGCACATACATGGAAAAGTTTCACCTCTGTCAATCCATCTCTCTTTTTTCTTCCTATTTATTTGCTTAAGAATCGGGTTGTTGGTCCTGTAATCCTTTACCGTTTGTTTCCCTGTATTGCAGCTTAACATCTTTTTCTGTCCTTCATGTGTTCTGTACATTGATAGTTGGATCTAGAAGCTTGATATGATTCGGGTTTTTTTTGTTGTTGTTGTTTTGTCGCGAATCATGTGCAGGTGGTGTTATGAGCCCCAATTTTTAAGGTGGACACTTCTCTGGGTTTTATTCTGTCTTGTAGAGGCAACAGCCACTTTGTTGATGACCTGCATTCATTCAGAATTTCCAGTCATCTAGTTAAGATGGGTGACTGTCCTAGACTGAAAGATTACTAAAGAATAGAAAGCTATTCTCATTCCTCTTAGAGTCTTTAGTGTAGTAGGAGTTCCAGAACTTAATTTGCTTTGTCCCTGGCTAATCCAATTTTTTTGCCCTGCTCCAATTTATCTGTACACTTTTAAAGTCCTACAATGTTAATAGTAAGAGGAGCCCTTAGACATACTTCTGTATAAGGGAGTCCTGTATTTTTGAGGGCCCAGGAGCCTGCTGAAATTGTAGGTATTTTTCTGAGGTGAGAGTTTAAAGGTTTCACTGAATTCTCAGATAGGTCTAAGTCCTCAGGCAACAGAAGGGAGGTGGAGGCCAGAGAAGGGAAAGGAGTTGCACAGAAGCCATCCGACAAGATTGAGGTAGGGCTGAGTAAATCTGAAACCTTCTGGTCTCTAGTCCAGGGCCTTTTCCTTAGTTCCAGATACAGACTCACAAATGCAGAGCAGGGCAGTGATCACGAGCAGATTGGACAGTTTTGTGCAGGCTTCCCTCCATAGTACCCAGCACGTTGGAAAAGTGTAAGCCATCATAGTCTAAAGAAACCATAGGTAGGAAAGGAAACTGGACCTGCAAAAGCAGAGATATCAGAGAAAGTCAAAAAGATTTGGGTTTTGGATAATTTGTAGCGCACCCTTGTTTGTTGAATTTGTAAAGATAGTTATCAATATGAGTTGCCGATAAATACTTAGGCAGGGGCCAAAAGCACCTTAGCTTTTTTCCCTGGCCCCGGCTCCAAACGAAGTGGCTATCAACGCTTGCCTGCTTCTCATGTACCTATCCCTTTTTAAAAGTTTCCTTTCCCTCCTCCCCATCCTTTTTCCTTCCTTTCCCCAACCCTTCTCTCCACTTATGCCCTCTCTCTTCTCTCTCCTTCTCATCTTTCGTTCACTTTCTCCCCTGCTCCCCACTATCTACCTCTTGTTCCCTCCTTCCTCCCTCTTGCCACTCTGTCTCCCTTCTGCTCCCTCCCTCCCTCCCAGTCCTTTCCAGCCCTACGTCCCCCTCCTCAATCCACCCTCAACAAGCTCTCCACCCCTACACCAGAACCCTTGCTGGTGGCTCCTGCTAGTCAGAAGGAAGAGACCCTGCTTGGGGAGCCTTGGGCCCTCCAATTGGCTGCCTCCTCCAGCACGCCAGCTTAAGTCCCGCCCCCCAGCGAGTAAACGCGCTGCTGTCGCACCTGCTATTGGCCGGCGGGCCTGTCAGCGGTTGGGGTTGCGCCTCACGCAGGCGTCCGCAGTCGCTAGGTGAATAAAAGCGCAGCCTACGAGCTGGGGGCTGGGGAGAGGAGAGGGAGAGAGCCAGCGAGGCAGGGCTGGAAGAGTGTCTGGCAGCCGGGATCCCCGCGAAGAGAGCGAGCGTAGGAAAGCAAGCGAACTAGAGGGAGTAGGGGAGACCGAGACTGACCGGTAGCCAGGCAGGCGGACGGACGCACGCACGCCGGGACAGACAGACTGAACAGGCGCTGGAGAACCTCGCACTGGTTCCTCCCGCCTTTCCCTTTGAAAGCCAGGATTTTGTCTTTTCCGTGGCGCCCGAGAGAGAATGCTGGACTCTGCCGACTTCAGCGCAAGCTAAGATTTCTCAGCTAGGGAAGAAAAATCAGCCCAATCCTGAGAAGGGGGGAAGCAAGTTCCCCTGTCCCCATCCCCCCTCCCCCCATACCAAACTCGGGCAGCAAACCCAGCCCTTCCCTAACCATCCGACTTCCTCCTCTCCTTTCTAGAATGGTGGCTGTATGGACAGTCTGACAGAACAGAGACTGACATCTCCCAATCTGCCGGCCCCCCACCTGGAACACTACAGTGTTCTGCATTGCACCATGACCCTGGATGTGCAAACTGTAGTCGTTTTTGCCGTGATTGTAGTCCTCCTGCTTGTCAATGTCATACTCATGTTTTTCCTGGGAACGCGCTGAATGGAGTCCAGCCACCTGAGCTGTTGCTAACTCTCGATTTGATTTCATCCTGAGAACCACCGAGAAAAAAAATCAAGAGAGACAGTCAGAGACAGGGAAAGAGAGGGAGAGAAAGAGCAAGCTTTCTTACTCAGGGGGGAAAACGTTTTGAGCTTCAACATGGCCTCGCTGTGATATGTATGACGTTGGTATATTATCTCTCCCTAAATCTTTTGTCATGTCTTGTCTTTTAAGTATGCCTGCGAGTGTAGTTGCTTATTGCTTGAGTAAAATTGTTGATAAAGAAATGCTTTCTATTTAAGTGTGCATGTGTGTGTGCATTTTCCATTTACGTGTCGTTCAGGGAGCAAGCTCTGCGTCCTTAAACAGTAGCTTTGCTGTTTGTGGTACCTTGTCAACTAATTTTCTTGAAAACTACCTTTAAATTCCATGAGGGAATTGTAGTTAAAATTTCTCTCTTGCTATCAGGATCGTATTTGGGTTTGTTTGGGGGCACGGGGGCATGTGGGAAGAGCATGCGGGATTTTTGGCATCTTTGGAAAGACAGCCTAGCACTGGATGTTTAGAGCAAATTGATGGAATGAATTTAGGGAAAATGATTCTTTAGTCTCTAATGAGAAGGGAGAATTTGCGAAGCGATGTGGTGGGGTGCGTTGAGCTGGCAGTTGGTGACTCTGTCCTTTGAATCTCAATTTGCTGTCCAGGGTTCACAGTTTCCAATTTGGAAAGGAGCCACCTTTAAAACATTTCTTAAAGCATTAAATATCATTTTCTTTGGAATTATGGAACGAGGTGTAAAAGCATTCTCTGATCTTTATAAATTGGCAAGGGAAGACATTGATGAGCTGTTATTGGGTTCCTTTTCCCAAAGTCTACTCCTGGATTTGAATGGGGTTTTTTTCTCTGTGTTCTCAAAAAAAAACCCCCAAAACCAAGAAAACCCAGCTCTTTACCTACCTTGGGAATAACAGTATTTGGCTATGCCTCTTTGGGGTAATCTCATTTGCAACGATGAACTTGAACTACATTTTAAATAGAACTTGCTAGTGCTAATGAGAAAGTGGTGGTTTTTGTTTGCCTCCTTGTTTGTTCTCGAAGATCAGAGGTCTCTCTAATTGAAAGATTTCCTTAACAAATTGAAAGTATGTATCTTGCTAAGTAGAGTTTTGAGCAGCACCTCCTGCACCCCCCCAAAAGTCTTGATGGAATGAGGTATAAGCTGGGGAAACCATGAGCTAGAAACAACATTCCAATTTGACATATTTGCATGTCTGCATCAGATGGTAGTGGTGGCGGTTGCCGTTATTATTGCGATTGTTATTATCTTTATATTTCTGTTTCCACTGAAAAAGCTTTTGGCAAAGCTGGCGGCGGAGGGGGGGCACATCTCTGACGCCAATGTGCATAATACTTGTTTTCCTCCCTTCCCCCACCTGCTGATGTAGGCAGGTCTTCCTCCTTCCCTTGCTTACCTGACTTGAAATAGTGCCATTTCTGGCTCAGGTAGCAATGAATCAGGGCGCATACACATCCACACACATGTTCCCCTACACCCATGTGGGCGGCTGCTCATGTGTGATGTGCAAATCTGCGGGCATTGTGCTTTCAAGTTCCATGTCCTGTTGTTTAATCTCTTGGGAACTGATTATGAAAGGAGAGGGGCTGGGAAGAGGGCTCTGGAAACCGTCCTGACCTCAGGACCCGGAGAGTATTATTTAATGGCGTCAGAAGAGGTTTTGAGTCTTGAGATGTGCTCTCATTGGCTCCGCGTGGGTGAGAAGCTGATTTTTTAATTCGATTGGTACCATGGTGTAAGCTTGATCTGGGAAGTTTGCTGGCATTGATACTTATTTACTCTGTGGTCCTTTTGTGGGAGCCCCCTGGGTTGAACTAAGAACTTGCTGCTTTGCCAAGAGAACCTAGTGAGGCGCCCCCCTCCCCCACCACCTTAGCGGCAGTGCTATTATCTAAAGTACGCTTAGATTTTGACTGGGCACTTTGTTTTCAGACAGCACTGAAGAGTGAGGAAAGGCTCTAGGCTGAACTCTGAAGACCTGGGTTCCCTCTGTTCAGCGACTATTTGACCTTGGACATTTTTTTTCCTTCTCAGTGGGTTGGGGTTTCCCAGTAACACTGGCATTTGGGGATGGTGAAGCTAAGCGACCCTGAAGTTCATGCATTCTGTGATTCTTGGGTGCCCGTAGGCACTTGAAATCAAAGGGGCACGAACTATAAAGACAAGTGAGAAGGAAAATGAAATGTTAATCAAGGACTGGTGGGAGGTGGGGGGAAGCAATATCAGGTTGCTGGTATCTAGAGAAATTTGTTGCACCTCCGATTTTTTTCACCTAGCTGTGTGAGAAAACCACTGCGACGATGGAACGCTTTTTGCTTTTTTCTTTCTCCCTGACAGGAGAAGCGTTCTTAAAGCTGATCTTTGAGCCAGGTTTATGACAAAGTAGTGTCATGAAATGCCACAGCCTTCACGACTGGGTGCCTGACAGGCCCTTGGCAGAAAGCCCTTGGGAATGTATGTGTGTAGGTTGTGTGACAGTATGTCCGTGGGTGTGTGTGCACACCCTTCTGTGTGTAGGCGGGGTGTGGGCGGGTGGGCGTACAGTCCTGAATGTGGATGGGGGTTGGCTGTGCTAGGAATGAGGGAAAACAGAAGGGCATGCATTGAGCTCCACAGTTCTGAATGGCCCCCTTGTGCTAGCGACAGTGAGGATTTGGCTGGTGCTGTGATGGATGGGTGTTCCCCCAACCAGCCTTCCCACCGACCCCCCACAACCCCTCAGGCCAAAGGGGTAGCTTGAATGAGCCCTTCCATCAGTACTTTAGCTGGTGAAATGGGTAAGCATTTTTCAAATTAATTTATCTCTAGGCAAATAAGGGAATGTTGCTAGCCAGATGGCAGGCCACCCTAGAGCAGCTAAAAGGGAGTTTGGAGAGTAGAGAACCAAAGTTGGCAGTGTGACTTTTTACTTCTGTGAATCCTAAAGGTTTGGCATTTCTCCTTCAGACTTGTGAGGATATGCAAAAAGAGGAGAGTGGGAGAAAATGAAGCACGCAGCCAGAGGAGTAGAAGCCTCTGCATTTTGGCTTTTTTTTTTTTTGTCTTTTTTCTTCCCTCTCCTGCCTCTTTTCTTAATCTTCCCCCTTGTCCCTTTGCTCCCTCCGGATACAGCCTTCTTCCCCCTCTGTCAGTGGGTAGGTAAGAGAAAAAAGAGGACTTGTTCTTGCTGATTTGTGCCAACTTTTTTCAACAAAGTTCTTCGTTTTTGGTTTGTTTTTTTTTTTCTTTCCACCCTCTGGGTAGAGGACACCTTTTGGTACCAGGAGAGGCAAAATTCCAGTTCAGGAATTTTGGCTTCCAGCTCCCTACTGGGAGATTCAAGGAAATACTCTGGGCCGGTATCCTAGCAACCCCTGCATCACTCAGCTCCTGCTGAGCTCCAGTTACCACCCTTTGAATGTGCGGGCCCTAAGGCTGCAGGAGAAAGGGGGCTTGAGCCCAGCAGGACTTGGAGAGATGCTTTGGGGGAGAGGACAAAGAAAGGGCAAGATCTGTCATTGCCTGCAAATGTCTAGAAAACATACACTGAAGGCACACAGAGCCTAGCCTTCTCCTAGCCCTGGGGACCGTTCATTGGAAAGCTCCTGGGTTCAAATCCCTCTTCAGTTACTACCTTCTTAAATTAACTGAGCCATTTCTCAGCCCAGCTTTAGTGCAAGGAGGCCTGCGGGCCCTGAAAAAGTTTTCTTTTCACCCTGACTTCTGGCTGAGGCAGGGAGGAGGTGAGAGTGCTTCCCCCACCACCATGAGGCAGCCTGTGTCTGTCAGAACCTGTAACATCTGCTTGTGCTGTGTGCCCCATTCTTGTTTGTGGCTTAGTGAACCCAGCCGAGCTGCAGTGTGGAATTTGGGGGGGTTGTTTCTATGTTGTTAGTCTCTGAGTAGTTTTCGACTATGAAGGCTGGGCAAATTGAAATTGGGAAGGCCAGATGAATTGTGGGGCTGGTGAACAGGGTCTGGGCTCTGCGTGGGGTTCTCTCGTGTGTGTGTGTGTGTGTGTGTGTGTGTGTGTGTGTGTGTGTGTATGCGCGTGCACGCGTGTCAGAGAGAGAGAGAGAGAGATTAAGTGACTAGGGAGCTGAGGGATCCCACTGAGCTGGTAGGCGAAGCGCTCTTCTGCCCCATGGTGAAGTCCGGATTGTGAGTGCTTGGCTGTGACTGGACGGCACAGTTGGGCAGTTGTAGAGATGGTGCCAAATCATGTCCTGCTTCTAGCCTTTGTCTGCCATCTTGGCCTCTGCTCCTCTTGGCCTGTGCAGTGCTTGCTCTGGACAGGGACATGGTTGGGAATTGAGCCTATTCTCCCAAAATAACTACCTCCTCAGAAGACCTCCCACAAAGCATCTGGATCCAGCCCCAGTGGCTTTGCCCCAAGAAGTGGGATGGAGATGGAGAATCTGAGACTCTCTAGCTCTTATTTCTAGCTCTGCGACTTGTTCTAGGCCAACTGAATCTCTTGCTTTCCAAGAATCCTTGGTCAAATCTTAGTTCTTCTGATACCTGCAGAGAGTGTGTCTTGTCACTAGGTGGGTGTACCTCTGAGCAGTATTGAGTTTGCTGTGCTTTGCCCTGGTACAAAAGTACAAAGTGGAAAATCTAGAAGGGGAAGGGCCTAGAGGAGAAAGAGAAGACTCGGGAAATGTTCCAATAATGGCAATGCTAATAATCCCTTGTCAGTGCATGCGCCTATAGAGTTCACAAAGCAATTTCACGTCCTAATTTTCGGTGTCACGTCAGCCTTGCAGAGTGGGCAGGGATGAGCGTTATTCCTACTTTTTCAGATGGGGAAAGTAAAGGTCAGAGACATGGGTGGGACGGGAGTGGGTCTGCTTTACAAACAGCAGGAGAGTCAGAGTTGATCCTTCCCAGCTAGTGTGAGGCTAAATAGAGTCCTGGGGAGAGGTATGCGAGTCTCCCCTGAAGTCATGCTGGCTCTCTCAGCTACTTGCTTACATTTTCAGTGTTTTTTACACCTTTCATTTATATAGCAATTTTGCCCAGAATTCTTTACTTAAGAAAATGCTGCCCTTTTTATCTTGAATATACATCAGAGTCCCCTTTAGTCTTATGAAAACTCCCTGTTTGAAAACTCACTATTTGAGACATTCAAGG